GAGAGAGAGAGAGAGAGAGAGAGAGAGAGAGAGAGAGAGAGAGAGAGCTGCTTTCCTTTCAAACAACAGATAATATCTCTGTTTTATTTGGGGAAAGAAATGGCCAGAGTTCACTGATATGAAAATAACCTAAATAATATCTTCATTTATTTTAAATGCATGATAGGCTGATTCTTTTTCTTGGTGGTTGCCAAAGTGTCTAACTTTCTATTGAATAAAGTCTATTATATTATATTTATTTAGTGTGCAAATGGGGGCATGTGTATGCCACTGCTTGCACATGTGAATCGAAGAACAACTTGCAGGTATTTGTCCTCTCCCTCCACCTTGTGAGTGTCGGGGATGAAACTCAGATGGCCAGGCTTGGGGTGGGCACGTTTACCTGCTGCGCTGTCTAGCTGATCCCTACCTGTAGATTTAAACACACAAAATTCTGGACTGCAATGTTGGAAGCTAAAGTAAAGACGAACTGAGAAGGTCAGATGTGTGAGCGTCTTTTCAGCCCAGTAGCTCCCTTGTTTCTACCTTGAGAAAGCAGTTGAGTGGTGCTCCTTGTTTTGTAACCCTGACAATTTGTACACATTGTTAGATGTGAAGTTAATGAAGAAATACAAACAGCTTCTGTGTTATGAGATTGGCTTCATTTAAAATGAAGTCTACTATACTATAGTGTTGAACTCAGGCCCATCTTCCAGCAGGAAGTGAGTCCTAGAATTTTGAAACACTTCATTCCTGTGATCTGCACTAAAGGAAGACCTTTAAAATTTGATAACAACAGCAGAAGGATTCAGAGTGTTTGGCACTTGAGTCAAGAACAGACTTCATTTCATCTTTTTCTTTTGATAGCTGTGTAAAAACAAATGGAAACCAAACAGATTCATTTTCTTGCAGTCTACAGGGAGTCCACATTGTGGGACTGTTAGCAGTCAGCATGTGTTGAGGAGCTCAGGGACTCTTGCTCCTCACTGCTAATGATAGATTTAGGGAGAGGGGAAATCATTGCCTTCAGCTGTGCATCTGCTGGTGCGCTCACCAGGCTCCCATGGTTAGTTACAATCCAGTGCTCACAGAATGGTCCTGGCTGAACTAAATTGGCCACAGAAGGAAGTCAGAGTCAGGAATCCGGGATAAAGACTGATAGAGAGGAAGAAGGGGTTCCACAGAGGTGGGGGGGGGTGTAGGAGAGGGTAGGTGGAGAGAGTAATCGGAATGTATTAGATACATATATAATGTTGTCAAAAACAAGCTTAGTTAATAAAACAATCAAATCTCTAAGTTTTAATGAACCATCAGTCTCTTTCCTACAGTATTAGGCACTGGGTAAAGCAGAATTCATAAAACAGTTCTACATTGTTAGTCAATTGTTCAGCTCAAATGAAGACTTCTTATTTGTAAATAATAGGAAAGAACTGAAAAATATTACAGTTCTTGTTTGCATAATTATAAACATAGACTTTGACAAGTTATCTTAAGGAGTGAGAATTGATGCAGCAAATGTTTGTTTCTAGGGGTAGAGACTATCCTGGATGAGCAAGAACTAGAAAATCACTCTTGCATAATCACGGTCCATTCCATAGTTTGTTAAAGGCTGGTAATAAGTGATAGTTCGTTGAGTGCTCCTATGTACCAAGTACTATGGGAGTACAATGTGCAACAGGTTGATAGGCCTGAGACTGTGAAGATTGTGAAAGTATGCTTTAGGAAGAAGAGGAGAGGGAAAGAAAAAAGGAAACTTAGGATACAAACATTGGAAATAAAATTCTTCTGCAAAGAAAACTTAGGTGTAGTTGGCCAACTCATCCTTCTCTCACTTGGCTATGTTACCTCAGATACACAGTATCTTTTCTGCTTTCTTTCTGTCCCTACCCCAAAGACTCATCCTCAGTGCTAGAGAAAATCTACTTATTTACAGAGTATGTTCTAAGTGTCTGAGTATGTCCACAAAGTTATATTCAATAGAAGACTAGTATAAAACACACACACACTTAGTAATCATTTAGCTTTATATTCCACTGCAGCAAATGGATCATCATAAACACAGCATGTGTTTTGACAGTGCTGACAAGAATTAGATGCAACATTTAAAAACAACCAAACACATTAACTTCACTGGAGCAGAGCATCATTCCATAAGCTATTCTACTATAATGTCTATAAGGAGGAAAATAATTCCACATATTTCATTTAAACCCATAAAGTGGAAATTCCTAACTATTTATACAGAATGTGAATGATGAGTATGTGTGTGCAAGCATTGTACTCCTACACACACACACACACACACACACACACACACACACACACACACACCCCTCACACAATGAATTTGTTTCTCTTCTGGATACAGAAAGAGTGCCAGTGAATGTGACAGTTGGATAGAACCAGATGCTACAACTTGTCTGGGAAGAATTAAAGGTGGAGTAAACTCAGGTAACCTCAATAGCTTCCACATTTAGGACCCAAAGATCTCGGAAGGGGAAGCAGCGGGAGGTTGGCACAGGTCCTGTCTCCTCAGAGCTTCTGTATATGCACAGAATCCTCACTATTTCCCCTTTCTGAAATAAAACCTCAGGAAAGGAGGTTTTATTCTCTGAGGGTTCAGCCTAGTTAGCATCTCTGAAGGGTTCACTGGGGAGGCACAGGGTCATGAGACTTCATGCACGCTCACCTTTGCTGGGAAGCAGACACAATTGTGATTTGACTCTGTTTGCATCCCCAGCAGGACACACAATTAGGAAACATACACAGCCATCCAGCACACCCATGAGGCTCCAACTCTCATTACAGTTCTCAGATACTTGACATTATCTGTCCTCAAGATTCCCAGAATTGCACTGTCCCCAGTCTCCAGATGGTTCTGGTGACTCTGTCAGGAGCAGGACTAGTCGCTGAGTTCCCAGAATCCACAGAGCAGCTTAGCTTCTCCTTGGTGGAGCCTGGGTTCCTTGGGGTGTAGCAGAGGTGGGAAGACAAGACCTAAGTTACATTTCAAGGTGTGGAGGTGCTGTGGGAGCTGGTAAGGAAGGCATGGGTAGTCCAAGAAGGGGCCAAGGTATCCCAGTGGGGCCTTTGGGGACCTGCCTTTGGGGACTTGCTTCTAGAGCACAAACCTCCCATGGAGATAATTCATTGTGAAGTGTAGAGACTGAGTTCAGGCCCTCAGAGGAGGGAGGAAAAGACCCCTCCACGACACTTTCCCCTGGAAAGTACATTTTATCTGTGGAAGGCTCTTCTTTAAGATACTCTCTAAGACACTGTCATAGTCTTCATATTCTACTTCATTATTTGGTACTGGATATAGAACTGTCAGAGTGTTATTTTAAAAAAATTCATGTCAACCTATCGTGGAATTTACACACTGGCTCCTTATAGCATGTCCTTGCAGGGAAATTTGTCATAACTGTCCACTTTTGAGTGCATGTCAGCCTGTGTCCCAATTCTGCTCGTTCCTGTGATAGCGAGCATACACAAAGATGACAAATAACAGCTTCTGGAACAGGAAGATCTTTACTGGATGGACAGTCATAAATAACACAGCCTCCTTTTGTTATGTTTGGGGGCATCTGCAAACTGTGGAAATCAAGCTATCAACATTTAAGAGAAAAAGGGTATTAACAAAACAGCACATTTGTGGAAGCTGTTATTTTAAGACATGGTTCAATATCTAGCGTTTGGCCACTGTAGAGTTATGTTAAGGAACAGAAGTAGAACATTTGAAGATGACAAGAAACTAAATACAGATGTATATGTCATGAAATTTAAGCCAGGAAAGGGAATCACTTTTTTTTTTAAGATTTATTTATTTATTATGTATACAGTGTTCTGCTTATATACATGCTTGCAGGCCAGAAGAGGGCACCAGATCTCACTACAGATGGTTGTGAGCCACCATATGGTTGCTGGGAATTGAACTCAGGACCTCTGGAAGAACAGCCAGTGCTCTTAACCTCTGAGCCATCTCTCCAGCCTGGGAATCACTTCTAAAGCATGTTTTTTTACATCATAGCAAGTGGACACAGCTTTAAACTGTGGGTTTTGACATTTTTCAGGTTTCTGTAAGAAAAGCAGTTGTATTTTAAAACTCTAAAGCCGAACTTTGTTTTTATTTATTTCAAAATATAACCTTTTGTCTCTCTCTGTCTCTGTTCTCTCTCTTTCTCTTACACACACACACACACACACACACACACACACACACACACACACATGCACACGCACACGCACATGCACATGCACGTGCTTTTCCTTTTTGAGAAGACAGAGAGATTGAATCTAGGGCTTCATGCATGCTAAGCAAGCACCATTTCATTGAGCCACATCCCCAGCTCATATATATATATATATGTGTGTGTGTGTGTGTGTGTGTGTGTGTGTGTGTGTAGTTTGATTCATCTCACACATACACATATTCATCACAAATTTGGAAGATTGTGAGATTGAATAGACTCATTCCTCAAGGTTTATAATGGCATGCTGGACCAAGAAACAAGAGATGCTTGGAGTCATTGTCACCCAAGGATCATATTAAACAGTAGAGACAATGAGTGACCCTCACTTTCCATAACCAAACAGACTCTGACATGCACTGATGTGAGCTACTGTCTTCAAACTGACAACTTTTGCAGAGGCTTCCTTGCAGGAAAAAGAAAAAGAAATAAATAAATTGGGGGTGGGGTGGGGAGAGAAAACATATTTGTCCTAGAAGGGATTTTCAGAAAGTATCCACAAGTGGCCAATCAAGCTCCCCTGTTCCAGATAACTGTCAGAAAAAATGGCACAACTATCAACTTTGGCAAAAGCCAAGGCTTTAAAAAGTGCATTAGAATTCTTTTTTCAACAAAACAAAATTTTATAGCTTTCACTGTACTAATAAAGATGTGAACCTTACAGAGAAATACAGCATGGAGTCATTCACAATCTTCTTCCCTCACAAGAGGTAGTGATGTATTGTATACCCCAATATATTGTGTACCCTAATAAACTTATCTGGGGATCAGAGGACAGAGCCAGTCACTAGATTAGACATAGAGGCCAACCAGTGGTGGCACACACCCTTAATCCTATCACTTGGGAGGCAGAGATCCATCTGGATCTCTGTGAGTTCAAGGCTACACTGGGAACAGAGTCAGGCAGTGGTGGCACATGCCTTTAACCCCAGCCCTTGAGATTTCATGTCTTTGCTTAGAAAGCACACACACCTTTAATCCCAGGAAGTGACATGGCTGGTGGAGAATGGCATATAAGGCATGAGGAGACAGGAACTAAGCAGCAGTTCAACTGAGACCCTCAGGGGTGAGGACTCAGAGGCTCTTTAGACAGAGGATTTCGTAGAGGTAACAACTACTGGCTGGCTTGCTCTGTTTCTGATATTTCAGCTTTTGCTCCAATATCTGGCTCTGAGTTTTTTTTTTATTAATAAGACCTTTTAAGATTTGTGTTACAACAGAAGGCATTTTGAAGTCCTCTGGAAGGTTTGAAAAGAGAGGATTTTGGGGAGACAGAACACTGCATCATGACTAGCAGGGTCTCCTTCTTTTTTGGAATGGTGGGTTTGAAATCTTGGTTGTGACTGGGAGTGACTGCACCACAATCTGTTATTGTCAGCATTTGAAATTATAGATTTGTAGAATCCCTCCCACAACTACTGAGTCAGTCATCCAAATGGAGGGCGTGAGACAGCTCAATGCTAAATAAAGATTATGCATATGCTCTGGATGGTTAGGACTCTCTTGAGAGGATCATTTCTTCTGTCAGTGGTTAAACATGATGCTGTAAACTTGTCAGAAAACTCTCTGCATCTTCAGAACTCTCTTCAAAGTGTTCTTCACATCAGAGTTCCTGAGACTATAAATTAGGGGGTTGAGCATGGGATTAAAAAGGCTGTGAAACAGTTGGAGATATTTCTTCTGCTCCTTCGGGTTCCCGTGTCTGGGTCCAACGTACATGACAATGGCCGTTCCATAAAATAATCCGACCACACAGAGGTGGGAGGAGCAGGTGGAAAAGGCTTTCCGTTGACCCTCCCCTGACTGGATCCTCAGGATAGCACCAAGGATACAGGCATAAGAGACCACGATTGAGGAGAATGGTCCCACAAGCACAGACACAGCCCCAGCCAGGACCATGGTCTCATTGAGGTGTGTGTCTGCACAGGCAAGTTTGAGAATAGCTGTGATTTCACAGAAAAAGTGATTCACTTTCTGAGACACACAGAAGGGTAAAGGTAGAAGTAACACTAGATGAACCAAGGACAGGAGAACCCCAATGATCCAGGAAGTCACAGCCATAATGCTGCAGACCTTCCAGCTCATGATGGTAGAGTATCGGAGGGGGTGGCAGATGGCCATATACCGATCATAGGACATCACCACTAGGAGTAGACATTCTGTGATAGCAAATGTCAAAAAAAGAAATGTCTGCGTTATGCAGCCAGCAAAGGAGATGGGCTTGGCTGGATCTAGAAGGTTCACCAGCATCTGGGGCACTGTGCTGCAGGCACAGGCAATGTCAACGATGGCCAGGTGGGACAGGAAGAAGTACATGGGAGTGTGGAGTCTGGAGTCCAGGCAGATAAGGCCCACGATGGTCCCATTCCCCAGCAGGGTGAAGGCATAGAACAGGGAGAAGAGGGCAAAGAGGAACATCTGCATCCTTGGGCTGAGCGGAAATCCCAGGAGGATGAACTCTGTGATCAATGTCATATTGTTTCCCATATCCCTGTGGCAGAGGAAACTGAGTTAATGACTGGTTTAAGGGTGGACTTTAACACAGATTTGTGCTGACTTCATACCCTTTGTAGGTTAGCAAAGTAAGGATAGCTGAAATGAATTTTTGTTTTAAATGGAGTTTTAAAGATTTCTTGCGGGGTGGTGGTACACGCCTTTAATCCCAGCACTCGAGAGGCAGAGGCAGGCGGATCTCTGTGAGTTCGAGGCCAGCCTGGTCTATACAGTGAGTTCCAGGACAGCCACCAAAACTACACAGAGAAATCCTGTCTTGAAAAACCAAACCAAAAACAACAAAAAAACCACCCCAAAAACCAAAAAAACCCCCAAAAAACCAAAAACATTATGTACACAAATATATTTCTTTTAACATTTAAAAAAAATTTAGTTATATTATTGTGTATGTGGACATGTTGCATTTGTGTGAGTGCACTTGCCATTACATACACGTAGAGAACTTTGTGGAGTTGGTTTTCTTCTCGTACGCTGCTGTGACTCTAAGAGCACTGAACCATCTTGCTCGCTTGATGACTGTAACATTTTTGATGGTTCTATAATTTCATAATACATATACCCATTTTACTGCAAGTCAAAGTTTGTTTGAAAACATTCTACAGGTTACACCATAGTTTTCAAATAAATTCTCCTTGTCTTGGTTGACATTATTCAGAGTTATTCTCTTATTATTTTTAATTAGAAAAAATGAACCCTAAATATGGACCAGTGTTTCAAAACTGTATTGCATTCAATATTGAGTGGAAAGGGTTCAGTAGGATGTAGCAAGGTTAAACATACAAAAAGCATCATTCACCATTCCTTCCACAGACCTTTTCCACTCTACAATAAACACCTCACAAAGTGTTTTTCTATTTAAGTGTAAAGGCTTAGATTCAGCCCAAACTATTTTCTGTCATTTAGTTTTTCACATTAACGTTTAGATGATCATTTTTGTGACTGACCAGATGTGAACTGTGCTGTTTGTCAAGCATGACAGCAGGGTTAGTAACCTTGTCTTTTGGCTCAGTGTCGACAGACACTCTAAACACAGTTTTAGGTGAAGTCTCCACAGGTGGCTTGCAGTGACTCACTTTCTGTGGGAAGTGCTGCAGAAACATTGCTATTGCTACTGGCCGACTGAACCTCATCACCTCTCTAACTCTGTAATTCTATAGTAAAAAGGTGAATACAAACATAGTTTTCCCCCTGTTGCATACATTTTATCCTCTTATTTTATGTGAATTCCCCCTATGTGGGTGTACAAGGACGAGTAATAATCCTTCTTTTAAATAGGCATGAAATTCTACATCTAACACTGAAAGATCTCATTATCAAAATATTAAATTTATGTTGGACCTCAATTACTACTATCAGAGAGGTAAGTAGCATGCTCAGGCAAGTGAAAATAAAACCATATGCAGATGTTTATTGATTTTCTATTATCTGTATAACCTTATTCTTAGTGTAGACGTATCAGTAATTAAATTATTACCTCCTCATTGCTCAGACTTTGTATGTCATCAAAGTAAGGTTATGCATAATAAACATACATTATACTTAATTTTTTTTTTTTGGTTTTTTGAGACAGGGTTTCTCTGTGTAGCTTTGCGCCTCTCCTGGAACTCACTTGGTAGCCCAGGCTGGCCTCGAACTCACAGAGATCCGCCTGGCTCTGCCTCCCGAGTGCTGGGATTAAAGGCGTGCACCACCACTGCCCGGCACATTATACTTATTTGACTAGTTCCTATAAATGATAATTTGTTCATAATACTTTTTCAGAAATTCATTTGCACATACATGCCTCTATTTCATGAAAGACAAGCTGCTTGCCAAAATTAACCACTAATACATTGATTAAAGTTATGCATTAACATATTAATGTATAATATACCAATAAAAATTTGTATGTCTTACTCAGTTTATCTTATTGTTGTAACTGTTGATGGGCAGAATTTGAACATTAAGAAAGTAGAACTGTAACTTTGTGACAGTAAAAGCAAATAGACAATGGAAAGAACATTATATTTCATCAGAACTTACCCAAGAAATGAGGAAGCCTGGGTATCTAGAGAAGGCTATTGTACAAGGACTATGGTAAATCTTCATTCAGAAAATGTAAACATTTCTTCAATTCTGTGATGACATTGGAAGCCTTGCTGCTTGTCTCAGAACTGACAAAGAAGGACTATGGCTTTTCAAGTTGCCTTTTAGAAGAGAAGGCTTTATGAATTTATCACCTCTACAGGTCACCCTTTCAATTGTCATGAGAGCCTTGTGTAGTGCATGAAAAAATAGGTCCCTTTGCACCATCATGGTTCCTATGGCGACAGGAAGAAACCACCCACTGTGATTCTAGCCCACAGAGGTTTGAGTCTCTCTCTGTTTCTGTGTCTGTGGAAGCTATATCGTAATGAGATCTTCAGACATTCAGGAAGAATAGTCAGTATTTTCTTAAGTAGTAGGACATGTTTATACAAAGTCATACTTGGAACCACAGCTACATCAATTTACAGATTGTTATAGCTTTATGAATTTTCATTTTGTTTCAGTCTTCAAACAATCAAGAGATATAGTGGCAGATGAACATATTGTTCCTGGTTATTGACTGTGAATAAAATCTTGAAATTAATCCCTTTAGCCATACACCCATTAGTCTGATTTTCTAGATACTTGAAAGGCAGTAGGAAAACAAAGTTGAATGACGAGGTCTAAATTATTGGATATTATCTAGAAATTCAAACCTTTCATCCCTAAACACAGGTCTGGAGACATGTAGGAGTCATCTTAGGGATGTAGAAGCCTTGGGACTTGTTGATTCAACTGTTGTTGGACACCAGGTTGGTCTCCTAACTTAGCTACTACTAAGAACAGTACTGCAATAAACATTGATGTGTGATTATCACTGTGATATTATGACTTTGAGTCTTTGGGTAAATATGCAGAAGTAGTATAGCTGGGTCATATTGTAGATGATTTATTGATTAACAAATTAATAAAACATGATTTTATTAGTGCATATGCCTCCTCCCCACTTATTTGGAAAAAAATGAAATACAGTCAGAAAGTCTTCAGGTCAATATTCTATTTCTTCTACCTATTTCTTAAAGACTTCTTCTAAAAATAATATTTCTTATTTAATTTTTTACAACCAGACATGGTTATATCCACCCTCTGCTTTCTCTTCTTCAACTCCCTTCTGGACCCTTCATCACATCTCTGTCCCGCTCTCTTGGCTTTATTTATTTATTTACTCACTTAGTTCAGTTAGTGTTGTCCATGTGTACATGGGCATGGGACCATCCACTGAGGCATGAGCAGAAAATGACTCTCAAATCCTCAGCAGCTATCAAGTGTCAAAATCTCCTCAGGCAAAGGTGGGGCCTTGGGATCCCCTTACCCCTCCATCCTGAATTTTTAAAATTTGTTTATCCATTTAATATATTTTTTATGAATATACTTTGTATGGTAAACATATCCCCCACTGCCCTGTTCCTTCTTCTCTCCTCCATTTTTTACCCCTCATCCCCTTTTCTATTTGTCTTCTATATTTGCCTTCATTTATTCTCCTTTATTCATGTCTTATGTAATTTTATAGACACATTCATGATTTTATGTGACTAAAGAAAAATCTAAGAATCACAAACAAGAGAAAACACATATTTGTCTTTCTGAGACTGGCCAAACTCACTTAATATGATTATCTCCAATTGAATCTATTTCCTTATAAATGACATAACTTTATTCTTCATGTTTGGAAAAAATTCCCTTGTTTACATATACACTCTTTTCTTATTCATTCCTCTGCTATTGGAGACTTAGGTTAGTTCTGTCACTTAGCTATCATGAACAGGACTGCAATAAACATCGATGTGCTAATGTCTCTGGGACACTGGAGTTTTCTACACAAATACCCATATGGCAGATCTTTGAAAAAATCCATAGTAGAAGGACTAGTTGACATCTACCTATCTCATCAGCAGACTGTGCTGGCATTGCTTTTCAAATGACCCAGAATCTGATGGCTTCTTCTAGTCCCCATTATTGCTACTCTTGTCTCTGCCACCTTCTTCCATCGCCTGTGTTTTTGCAAGAGTCTCTTCTCTTTAACTCAGCATGGGATGTGGAGTGATCCTGTTAAATTATGGGAAGAGCTATTATTACTCCTTCACTCACAGCTCTTTTATGATTTTCTGACTCCATCATAGGTTTACAAAATCATCCTGGGATTTTTCAGTGGCTTGGTCCTGTACAGGTCACTTTTGTGCGTTCATGTGTACAACAACCATGTTGTGTCTAGTGACAGCATTTCACAGTGCTGCTCCCCATTCTTCAGCTCTTACATTCTTTCTGCCTCTCTTCTGAGACGTTCCCTGAGCCTTGGGTCTAAGAAGGGTTGGTACAGGTGAGTGCTGAGCAACAGGTGGGACATCTACATTGTTAGATTTTTAAGAAACTTGCACATTGACTGTTAGATTTTTGAGAAACTTCCATAGTACTTGGACTGGTTCATGTTTCTACCAGCAGAGTACAGGGGTTCCCTGTGTCCACATCATTACTGGCATTTGTTGCCAATGATATTTTTAATGTCTGATGTTCTAAGTGGAGTGGAATGGAATCTTAATGTAGTTTGGTTTTCATGTTATAACTTAATTGTCTTTCTTTTCATGTGATTAATAAAAGGAATAAAGGATGATACCCTTGAATTTGTTCCTTTTAAGTTGAAGGGGAAGCATCAGATCTTTAACAGTTCATTACTATTTTAACTATGGTGTTACCATGTACCCCTTTTCATATTAAAAAGTTACCTAGATGGTTGAATGTGTGTTTCTCATGGAAAAGTGTTAGACTTGTCTGTCAATTGCTTTAAACAGATGTAAGGAGAGATTATATTTTCCTTTATTTATTTAACATGCAGTAGTACATTGATTGTGTTTTGTATGTTCATATTACTGTATTCCTGGAATAAATCTTACTTGATCATAGTACTTGTG